AGCAAGGCAAGGGCACATGACTCCGTGCGGCGGCTCTGGCCGAGACGAGGACCGCGGCCAGCGGCGGCCCCGGGACACTGGGCGGGAGCCGGCACGCAGGGCTCCCCCTCGGTGGGAAGCGGCCCAGCCCCCGCCCGCCACACACGCACACACCCACACCGCCTTCGCTGCGCCCGGGGCCATTTTCCCCGTGTTTATTTCCCTCCGGAACTCGGGGTGCTGGGCGGCAGGTCGGAGGCGGGAGGGGGCCGGGGCCGAGGAGGAGGAGGAGGAGAAGCTGCCCTGGACCGGGGGCGAGTACCGGTCGGCTGGGATAAGGACTCATCGGGACAGAAAACTTCTTCTGAAAGAGAGCCAAAGGTTCATTTTAAGAACTTTTCCTAAATTCTGCACTACCAACCTTTTTGCTTGCTTTGGCATGTAGCTTAGGTAACACCAAATTGCCGAGTGGGACCCTGGGGATACAGAGCATGGGTTTGCAGGGGACAGATGCCAACCAGTGAGGGTCTTCCCTCACGAACCTTCACTGTTTCTAACAGCATTCAGAAAATAACTATCTAGGAAATACTTCTGACCTGTATTTTGAAAATAAGCATAGCCTGTTTGTGCCTGGCACTGATCATTGGATCCTACCCCAACACCGCAGCGCTGGCAGTAGCACCCACTCCTGGCAGCTGTAGGACAGGTAGAACAAAACTTCCAAAAGCAGCCTGGTATCACTTCTGATCATTTTATCACCTCTGAATAGAAGTGAAAAACTATCTGGCTACCTGGCAATATCTGTAGAGCAACTATGTTACGCTACTATTAGAACATTTTTTAACTGAACTCAACTGCATTGATGGAACAGACTTAAGATCTCCAAAGTATCAAAGACAAATTTAAGTTGATTTTCATGTTCTGAACAAGATTTGCATTATTTGTTCATTTGCCTGTCATTCCATGCTGTTTTGGCCGGTTCAAATTTAATTTAGAGAAAGTTACTACAGTCCTATAAGTTTCATGGAAATTGCTATGTCACTGAGGAAATAAACCTAAATTTGTTTCCTCAGCAAAGGAACAGCAAGCAAAAAATTCAGCTCTTACACATTTGTGTTAGCAGCAATCAGCCAGACAATCAGTATGTATATATTACCCATACACTTTGCATATACATAATTCCAGACTGATGGATGGGATTTTCATAGGGCAAACGGAGAATAAATTGTAGTTACTGTAATGGAGGTTATTTAGGGGTTAAAGGATCCATATCCACAGGATCCAGTGTCTTCATTTGTTCTGTTGCTCACAATACAGCTGCTGGAATGACAATGGAGTACTGGGGAATGCCAGAGTACTAAAAAAAAAAAAAAAGCTTACACTGAACATATATTTTAAAAAAAGGTAAAGAGGATGACACAGGCTAGCCCAGCATAACCAGTTTGATGCGGATATGGGGCAGAATTATGGAAGTGCTGACCTGGGATACAGTCATTAAATGCCAATAATTAAATGCCAGTCAACACACATTTATGAAAAAGATTTGGTTGAACATGTTTGAATTTAAGTTTGGCTGATAAAGGTAACAATGTTGATGAAACAGCATCCATCTGAGGTAGAACAGTATGCTGTTCTCATAAATACAACATGGAATACAAATTCTGCATAGTTGATAGGTAATTCAGGTGACAGTTCTCAAGACAAGTAATTGTAAGTGAAGATTTTTCATAAGGTTGTCTTTTTGGGTGGTGTTATTCTTGGCCTGGTGCTATTAGAAATGAGCTAGACAAAAATACCAAATCACTGCTTTGCTGTTGTAAACAAAGATAAGGACAGGTCACTTAGATAAGCTCTTTTGAATTGCTTTGTGAGATCTTCTCACTTGTACAAATACTCTCATTATGGTAAAACTGGAGGCTGTGCATTCAAGACAAAGCCTCCAAGACGCCTGGAATCTTAGGGAGAATGGCTGGCATGAGACAATGCTAAAGAGGACATGGACATTTTGGTACATAAGCAACTGAACGTGAGGTCCCAGAACAAAGGTTTTGCTAACTAATACTCTGGAGCAAAACCAAAGAAACATCAAATACAACTGGAATGGATATTACCATTGTTTATAGAACTGATTGAACCATTAATAGTGGAAATAATACATTTAGTTTGGGCATTTTCACTTCAAATGGATGTTAAATATTGGAAAGAGTCCAGAAGAAAGTTATGAAAAGTGTGGAAAATGTGCATTAATGTAAGATATTCTAAAAGCACAATCCAATGCAGGTGAAGAGGTACCTTTGTCATAAGCCTACTAGTACTTGTCTGGGTTAGAGATGTTTGAGGAGTAGAAGCAGTGTTGGCTTTCAGAAAAGGACAAAATTCTGAAAGCAAAACTAAAGAAAAATGAGACCAGAAATATGGCTATAGGTTTAAATTGTGAATCTGTTTTGGAAACAATAGAAAATTGTCAGTCAAGAAATTGAGATTTTTTTCAAAGAAGCACTGTAGCTCAAGCATACACAGCTGCAATTTTGATGCAGAATACATTGGCAGAGGTTCTGTGGGGTCTGATAGGGAGGTGGTACAACCACAGGATTATACTTGGTCTTTCCTTTCCTTAAACTTGATCACTCCAGAAGAAGACCCAAGACCAAGAAGTCTACTTAGGTAGCTGATTTTTTTTTTTTTTGGTGAGTTCTAACAGGCGACATCTGAAGAACTCCTGGTACATTTCATTGTGAACACAACATACATACCTGACTGTCCAGTTCTGCTACCATTGCATGTGATCTCCCAGACAACCCAGCAGTGACTTCAGAGAAGTCCAGATTTCCTCAAGGGAAAAATGACAATGCAAAAGGCTATGTCACTCATTTAAAGATCTTCAAAGGAACAAGAGTTCCACCTTCAGGTCTGGGAAAATACTACCTCTGATGGCAAAAGATATCTCAGAAAAAAAATTTGACGTGTAGATGGAGTTAGACTTCCTGAATTACAGACAGATTCAGACTTGTATTGCATGTCTGTGATCAATTTTGAATGGTCTCTTATAGATCTAATGACAGTGTGTATTCCTGTACAGTTATCAGAGAAAATGGTTTGTATCACCAATGTAGTCGAAAAGCATGGAGAGTCCTAGAAAGACAGAGAACTGGTGTACATCTGACTAAGGAAGAGCTTGCAGCCATTTCTTTTTCCACGTGAGATCATTCATAGTTTTCAGATACAAGGATTCAGGACCAGGAGCCAGATGTGCAATTCCTTTAACATGCTGAGCTCTTCTCAGCAATCTTTCCTTATACAGAGATTCTCAGATTACTCCTGCTGGGGACGGTATTTCAGTGAGCGTTGCTCAATAAACACAGAACTTCCCAGATACTTACATTATGTTCCCATAGATACATCTTTTTCCAGTAGAGCATTTCAAAATTCTGTTGCCTTTTTCAATGTATTATTATTACAGATACACTGATTTCACTGTCAAAAGGCTTGTGCTGGCAAGAACTGATGATAAAGTTTCCATTGTGTCATGGAAAACAGCCATTACTGTGTTACAGTGAACATTGCTTTCTCTCACAGTCTTTCAGAAGCGCAGTGATGTTTGAAATGAGATCCCCTTCTAATATACATCTCTGAAAAAAATCAAACTCTTCCAGTAATTCTTGACTGAGGGGTGTTTTGTGGAATATGTAGCAGTATTTTCTGAAACTGTCTTCCGGATATAAGCAAAATACTGTGGGTTGTTTTTTTGTCAACTGCTACTGCTGTAGTTTTTTACGGTTGGTGGAATTCTGATCCAATGCCCTTTTAGTGTAATTTGCTGCAAAACCAGCTCAGATTTGGTTGAGGATCATTTGTATAATGTTGCAGAAAGTAGGTCTCCCGAGTGGTAATGGAACAGAAGAGGTTTATTATACATTAACATATTCACAATGGCAGTAACACTGAATAGGGTGTAAAAGCAGGAGAAAAAGCAATTAGGGCAAAGCAGATTTTGAGAGAAACGTTTCCTCACTGGTTGCACTGGCTATTTGGGTCTTTTCCAGCATGTTCACAAGTCTCTCACTGTGACCTCCATGCAGGAATGGTTTACAGTAGCTGCTGCTGATCTACCCCTGCAACAGTGGCACAGGAAAGCCTATACGAAGAGGACGCAGGTACAGAAACTATCTACAACACCTGGTCCGCAGTAGGATTTCCCTGCTGACAAGAGCAGGGTGAAACAAGCATCGCTAGCTGGTGGGAGCTCGTGTTGCTGGCACTCAGGAAACATGCACCTGCAGCACTTTGCCTGGGAAGCCTTAGCTGTCCAAAACCAAAGGAGATAAAACAAGTGTTGCTGGGGTTGTGGCCCTACATGGGAACTTTCCCATGACTGGAATTTCATTGAGATATGGGGGTTTCTTCCCCAACATCTTTCCATTCCCACTGGAGCTGAAGAGGATTTGTCCCACTCAGAACTACTGATCAGCTTTCAGTATGCGCTGTAGCAATGGTGTATCAGATATTCTCAGTTTCATTTGTAAGGTCAACTAAGCAGTTTTACTTTTTTTAAGAAGAAGGTTGAGTTAACTCAGTTAAAAAGCTTTTAGTAGGACTGTCTTTGGTGTGCATTCATCTCTTGTTATAGGATCAAATTACATTGGCATCGCTAATCTCTACAAGTTACTCTAACTAAAAAAAGAGAGTGTCCATATGAGGCAGTTTTACCAGCCAAAGAAAGTTGGTCCACTTTTTTTGGTTTTATACAAGGCCTTAGAAATTGCATCAAATCTTAGTGCCATTCAGGTCAATGGTAAAATTTCAATTTAATTTAGTTTAGCAGGGTGAGGATTTCATTCTTTGTCCAGGTTCCAACACTTCCTGACACAAGAAAATACAAACTGTATTCAGGGGGAAAAAAATAGAAGGTGGTGAATCAGCTGAACAAACATTCATTTATTCAGTTCATCCACCATACTTAGTAGTAAACATTTCTTTTGTAAAACCAATCAGCTTTGAAAGAGGGATTCAGAATGTCTTTTAATTGCAGACCAGAGGTGTGATACTGTCAGCTTGCTTCCATAATCAGTTTATATTAAAATGTTTTAAAAACTGTTTTTATTTTTTCTTGCTTCATTAGTCAAATGATTCTGATTCTGCTGCTTCTCTAACACGTGCAGATCATGAGCAACTGCCTATTCAATAAAAACTTCAGGGAATTTCAGAAACAAATTAAAACTGAGAATACTCACATTCATTTGGGGTGGTTTTCCACTGATTAAATGTTACAACTCTACTTTTAAGATTTCTAGAGTTGTCCTTGCCTTCTTTCTTCCCCTTTATGAGATAAGCAGAAAGTCATTGTTCAGCTCTGCCAAAAAAGTGTCTTGTGCTGAAAGGTG